GAGAACCTCTCCCTCGGCTGCAAGGTACAGTGTTGCACTATATATATATATATATATATATATATATATATATATATTGCAAAAACAAATTTCAATGGTTGAAATCAACTACCGACAGTTTAGGTTTCCATCAGAGAGAGTGCATCCCCGATCATTCACTTTGTCCGATAAAGGGGCTGATCTTATCACTATGATCACCCATTCAGATGAATTCTCGGACTGTCCCAATATACCCAAGTTTTGACCCCCTCTAAGGATCTCAATGATTGGCATATCAAAGACAGCCCAATCCGACACCTAGTGCAGTATCATAATCGAGTCTAAGGGTCAGGTGTAACATTCCAGTTTTGTCCATCTATTTCTAAGGTTCAGGGCAATACTGGAATTTTGGTTCGGTTCAGGGTTTCAAGAAAACCCACACTGCATGTACCTCAGGTCTCACCCTAGCAGCTGAGACAAGCCACCCCAACCAACTTGGGGGTACATTAGTGTCAACTTTGGTAGGATAAATCTCCCCATATCTATCCAACGGCTGTGAAGATTCTAAACTAACACGAGTCTCATATGTGTCCAGTTTAAGGGTATTACATAGAAACACACCATAATAACATGAATCAAATATGTACTTTATTCATTTAGAATAAAAGTCATAATATACATCATGCCGATTGGAGCTAAGGGCATACACTATCTAACAGGATATCCTGGGGATTGTAACAGGGACCACCTTGCTGTAGAGCCCTGCAATCAGCGCCTCCCTCTCTATAAGCCCAATCTAGCGCCGTCTGCAAAGTTGAATCTTCGGCGTTGTTCTTCGTTGTGCGCTAGTACTTGGTTGCGTTAGAGCCACTGCTGTCGGCCTTCGATTCGAAATTGGGGTTCGAAGGCGATGTGAATGAGGGGCACTGAGATGGGGTGGTAATGAGGATGAGGGAGACGAGAAGAGAAGCATGAAATCGAAAGGTCACAGCCATTGAAAGGGATCTTATGGCTAGCCAAAGAGTGTGAACTGTGAAGGAATAGAGGCATTTGACAAGGTTTTCTTTGATTTTTATATGAAGAGAGAGAGAGAGAAAGAGAGAGAGAGAGTGAGTGAGTGAGTGAGTGAGTGAGTGAGTGAGTGAATAGCCGGCCATTCGAAGAGCGGCGGATTGATTGAAGAAGCTCGCACCATGATTGAATCGATGCTCAACTCTTCTTTTAGCCAATGGCAAAGGCCGAAGCCTTCTTAGATGGAGCTAGTCGCCGGTAGCCATTGTTGGAGTGGAGGAAACAACATTGGCTCTTAGAAGTTTTCACACATTGAGAAAAAGGAACCCCAAAGACAGTGATCTCAGATCTGTCGTTGATGGAGATGCGTTTTTCTTTCTCTTGGTGGAATTGAAAATGATAATATTGAGATTTTCTTTTTATCTAATGGGGAAGGGGAAGGTGGCAGTTGGAGACGCGGTGATTTGTACTGCGACTGTATGCGCAACGGCAACGCTTATCGTGCGTCATTGGATTCGATGCTCAGGTCGTTGGGCCTGGGCGATGGCCATATTGAAGGAATTTGAAGAGAAGTGTGCGACACCGATTGGGAAGCTCAGATAGGTGGTCAATGCCATGACCATTGAGACGCATGTTGGCCTTGCTTCTGAGGGAGGGAGCAAGCTCAAAGATGCTTATCATCCATGTCGACAATCTCCCTACAGGGTACAAAATCCTTCTTTTTTTGTTTCGTATTATTGATTTTGCTTCGTGGACTTAATTCTGGTTGTTGTTGTGGTTTTGCATTTTCAAGTTATTATTGTCAATCTTTTCTTTTATGCAAATTTTAATTAGTTTTGGAGATGTATCGATTAAAAGCGGTGACTGCTTCTAAAGCAAATGATCTTCAATCGAACTTCTATTGTTCTAGTATGCTCAATAGTTTTTGATGAAGGGAAATTTGGCCCGACCTCGCGATTGCCCGACACGTGGCGAAGGCAAGCAGCTCGGGGCAGTAGAGCGCCCAAAGCGAACATCGGAAGCAAGTCCAAGCCCACTACCGAGCCCGAACTCCAGACCGCTGTACTTAGCCCGAGCTCCCTATTAAGAGCGAGCTCCCTGTTAAGGGTCCGAGCTCCCTAAGTAAGAACCC